GCCAATGAGACAACTCTCGATCCAAGTCACAATTTGTAAAAGTAAACCAAAGTACGGCCTTCAACAAGGAGCCTTGGCTCACTCCGAACAGTAAGCTATAAAGGGTCCCAAAAATGACAAGTGTAAAACCATTCAAACAGGAAAACCAACGGTCTAATCTATATAAAAACGAGAAACGAGAAACACTTATGAACCACATCAACAAACCACAACCACTGAACATCAGGTTCCTGACTTAGGACAGGTGCAAACAAATGCAGCGGGTTTAAACGTTTTAATAGGCGCCAACCTTCACCCTATCTGAATCAATAGTATAACATCACAACATAGAAAAGACACACTATAAAATATCAATTGAAATGGCTTAATCAGGAACATATATATTGATATACTGTTCCCAGGCTTAACTCAATCAAAAGACATATTAACAAAAACAAGTGAACATACACTGTACGAATAAATTTGATCTATGAAACAATGTAAATACAACATTAATAAAACAAGGGGGTGAGATGTAAAACAATATAAGAAAGACAACCATAACCTTAGACAAAATACCGCCAAATAAAATAACGTACACAGGTAAATAAAAATAATTTTGTTGTAAGGTATACATGGAGTACGGAAATAATATTTATAAAATAAATAATTTTGTTGTTCCTAGTACGAGAACAAAAGTGAAAATTTATCGTCATACTAAACACTTATCAAAGGTGGTACATTTTAAAAACAGCTAGACTAGATATAACACTGAATAAGTAAACATAAAATAACAAAAATGCATTACAAATTGTATTATATATGTTTTGTTGGGTTTGGAACACAATGGTTTGAAAGTGAACATTTTTAACAACAGGCACTTTTGTCTTTTCCATTTTTTGTTTTGTTTTTTTTTTTTTTAATGTGTGATTGCTCTTAACCACACGATATTACAACATTTGTTATTATATGCCACCTCCGAGTCTATCTTTGTTTTCCACAGGATAGAGGGGCAGCATATAGAAACGGCTGGCATTGCAGTATCGTATGGATCAGAGCAAGAACACATCAAATAAGCGAAAATAAGTTAAAATAAAACAGATTATATACGAACAAAAAATAATTTAAAAAGTTTAAAAAAAATTTTTTTTTTACACGTATCTGTGCAGTTTAGTTAGTTTTAATGCTTTTTTCAAACGTGCGAAGCCCACTTCTGGTAGTTAGGTGGTTAAACACGTAATCGCTGCTTTGAGGAAACAGTTTACCAAAATATAACTGCTCAAACTAAATCCTGGACGGATACGATAGGACGATCTAGAAGTTAAATTTAATCGCTTCTTCTACCCTTAATTTTTCAATTACCTTAAATCTAACATCCACAATTTTATACCCCGCCAACGGTAGAACGGTAGAACGGTTTGGGGGGCTTTTTTTCCGGTCTGTTCGTCTGTCTGCCCGTTTGACTCGTATAAGGTTAACATTTTGGTTAAAGGTAGTTGACCATGAAGTTGTAGTCAAATCAACTTAAAACTTAGTACAAATCATAAATCATTGTCAAGCTGATATCCAGTTAAAATCAAACAAAAGAAATGGAACTCTTTATTACACAAGGTAAAAATGGCCAGTTTGGTATATTTGGGTTGTTTACTCCTGTTTCTATGGCCTTTAATAAAACTTTAATGCAGATGCATAATTTAGATTTTTATACTTTTTGAACTTGAAGATGCTTAAGCATACATTTCCCTGAAAAAACCCTTAGCAATATAAAAGATCGATTTTTCAAAAGCATTACATGTAATTTGCATCTCTGCAACCGGCAACTGTATCTTGCGATAAAATCCTGAAAATTTGCAATAATCTCAACGCAATGAGACAGTCAGGTACACCTTCTTACGGTCAGGCTTGTATGAGGTTACTGTTTTGTCCCGAAACGTGTAAAACAAAAATATTTAATACTATATCTCGCTTCAAATTTCCGATATTTTGATATATTATGCCTGTGACTATTGTACTAACCTAGTTAGTATAAACAGAGACATATATGTGTATATATGTCTCTGATCTGGGACTATTATACTAACCATTTAGTATAATAGTCCCAGCTCTGATATAATAGTCCCAGATTATTCATAAGGCTACATATTGATATAGTAACGTCAAAACTTGATTCACATTTCAAAGGATATGGAAATATGATAGTACGAGCGGAGCATGGCGTCCTGTGGACACACATTTTAGCACACGTGTTATAGTAATTTCAGCTTGAAACAAAAATTGATGATTAAATTGTAGTGGACACTCAGATTTGTCATACTGCATAAAAGACTTCAAGAAAGTAATTTAGAAATTGACAGAAACCTTGAACCGATGTAAAATCAGTTGAACCAATGATGAACTTGTACAACTAAGTAACAGCAGTCTAACAAAAGAAAGCCTCCGCTATCAACTTGCGTTTGGATAGTGGCGACTGGCTTTACAAGTATTATTAGTTACACAGTTTGCTAGTGACCTAATACGATATATATGGGGTCAGTAAATTCCATATGGCAGGATCTGTTTTCAATGATTGTCTACTTATCATGAAAATTTGGTAGCTCCACATTGGATAATACTACCACCTTGAACATCGCCCAAAACGGATGTGAGGTCAAGATGAAAAGATTATAGAGATATAATAAAAACCTTAAGTGATTTTAAATCATTTTGATGAACCTCAAATAAAACTCCCATTGTATTTAGATTTCTTTTGTTTCCAAATTTTAAATGGATGAATGTACGGATTGGTGGTTAACGTCCAGTGGCAAATTTTACATGCAAATATGGACAAGAACATGTTGATGGGATATGAATTGAAACTGGCTTTGTGTAATAGGTCCAAATGCTGTGTCAGATTTTTAATGTGCTTGTCCACAAGGTAACAGTCCATATAGAAGTACAAATATCATTCTTCTCGGACACATTCTGACCCTCAGCCGATCAGTCTTTACTCCTAAATTTCGAGTGCTAGGCAGAGAAGCAGTAATAACAATTATCAAGTCTTTGGTTTGATTCTGTTTGGAATCTAACCTACAACCTCCTGCACCTGAGGTAAGCACAAAAACACCAAGGCGGTCGTCAGTTGAGACTTGTCCACAAGGTAACAGTCTATATAGAAGTACAAATATCATTCTTCTCGGACACATTCTGACCCTCAGCCGATCAGTCTTTACTCCTAAATTTCGAGTGCTAGGCAGAGAAGCAGTAATAACAATTATCAAGTCTTTGGTTTGATTCTGTTTGGAATCTAACCTACAACCTCCTGCACCTGAGGTAAGCACAAAAACACCAAGGCGGTCTTCAGTTGAGACTTGGAGCGAATATGGTGAAATTTGATCAAGTAAAGTGCTTCAAAGCAGTAAGTTTGGTTCTTCAGGACACTACATCACATGATAAAAAATATTTTGAGTGCATGTTGCGTTAATTTCTACATTAAAAACTGATTGTCATCTTATGGCTAAGCTTTTTCAAAATTTGTGTATGGATATGTTTACATATCTCCAGAGACTTATATATGTGTCTGATATGATCAAAATAACTTATCTTTCAGACTCCATCTTTCTTGAGGGTATAATTATCTGCTATATATAGATTCTATCACTGAAGCGAGTTCATTTATTTAGGGACCAGCAGTGGCGGATCCAGAAATTTTCATTAGTGGGGGCCCACTGACTGCCTAAGAGGGGACCCGCTCCGGTCATGCTTCAGTGATTTCCTATATAATCAACCAATTTTTTCCCAGAGAAGGGGGGCCCGGGCCCCCTCTAAATCCGCCTCTGGCCAGCTGAGGACCACCTCCGGGTGCGGGATTTTCTCGCTGCATTGAAGACCCATTGGTGGCCTTCGGCTGTTGTCTGCTCTTTGGTCGGGTTGTTGTCTCTTTGACATATTCCCCATTTCCATTCTCAATTTTATCATACAATATTTATCCACTGGAGGCCATTTAATTTTCAAATTTTAACGTGAGACACAATTGAGAGCACTTACAGTGCAATTTTCTATATAATTGACATTTCCAAGAGACATAACTCCTGTAAAAATAATTGATCAGCTCTAATTTTCAAACTTGTCCAAGACATTGTTGATATAAACCTACAAGAAATGTAGGCTTCTTATGCTGTGCTGTTACACCAGTCCCAAGTTAGGGAAGGATTGAGCGCTCACAATCATGTTTAACCCAACCACATTCTTTCTGTGTCTGTTCAAGGTCAGGAGCCTGCAATTCAGTGGTTGTTGTTGGTTCATGTCTGTCATATTTGTTTTTAATTAATTGTATTGTTATAAATTAGGATGTTGGTTTTCTCGTTTGAATAGTTTCACATTTTTCATGTCATGGCCTTATATAGGGGACTATATGGTATGAGATTTTTCATTGTTGAAGGCCAAATCGTGACCTATAATTGCTTATATTCACATCATTAAAACTCTGGTGGATAGTTGTCTCATAGAAAATCATACCACATCAATGAAAGCGCTTATATGCAATTTTCAATAATTCATATTTCCAAGGAAAATCACTCCTATAAAAATAGTTGTTTTACAGTGACTATCAAACTTGTCCAGGACATTGCTGATGTAAACATTTGATATAAATTTCATAAATACCTGTCAAGAATTGTACATGTGAGAGGCATTAACAAGACAAAACGAAAGCCTGGTAAATTCTAAAATTGCCAAACACAAAATCAGATTTGTTTGTGGTAAAATATCAGAATTTTTAGAATTTTAAGAATCATATTTAGGAAACATAAATGTCTGAAAATAAAAGAATCAAAATATGCTGTGATCTGAGATGTGAAACTTATTTGGACCTCAAGCACTACAAACTTCTATCAAGTGGATTACTGATGATGGGGAGAAATAAATATGTCTATTAGCACTATATATCCTTACTGGAATTACAATTGGGTGTTCGTCTTCAGACAACATGGATTTATAATAGGAATTGAGTATGATATAATAAAACAAACAAACAATACCCGAGCTATTCTTAATACAATTTTATTAACTAAATAAAAAATATTTACACAAGTTCAAATGGGGGCATGACTTATGCATCTAACTACCAGGATATTAAAAATCATCAAAAATACAAAAATAAATGTGGATAGTGTCCACATGTGGACACAGATGATGCCCCCGCTAGCATATCATATAGTTATAAAGGGACATAACAGTTACTGAAGAACGGTAAAAGTGACGATACCCAAATTTAAACTTGATCTGAGTTTTGTGGTAATATGCATTGTGTGTAAGTCTCATAACATTTGGTTGAGGCTAACTTAAGTAGAGAACAGAAACTAAAAATTCAGCAATTTTTCTATTTGTAAACACGCATAACTCTAGAACGGTTGTGTATAAGTTTTATAACATTTGGTTGAGACAAACTAAAGTTAGAGAACGGAAACAAAAAATTCAGCAATTTTTATGTTTATAAAGGGACATAACTCAAGAATGGTAAAAGTGTCGCCACCAAATTTCGTAATTAATCTGTATTATGTAGTAATAAGCATTGTGTATAAGTTTCATAATATTTGGTTGAGGCAAACTAAAGTTAGAAAACAGAAACAAAAAAATTGTACTTGATCTTAGTTTTGTGGTAATGAATATTGTGTATAGGTTTCATAATGTTTGGTTGGGGCAAACTTAAGTTACAGAATGGAAACTAAAAATTTTGCAATCTTTCGATTTATAAAGGGGCATAACTCAATAATGGTTAAAGTGACACTACCTAAATTCAGCTTGATCTGTGTTTTGTCAGTGGAAGTCAAAATTAATCATTGTATTGTATAAAGCATTGATTGTAGTTGATTTAACTATAATCATGGACAAAGGAAGATAACTCCAATTTTAATAAAATGCTCCGCTGGGGCGCAGCTTGATACGACCGCAGAGGTCGAACCCTGAACAGTTGGGGCAAGTACTGACACAACATTCAAGTTTGATACAGCACTGAATTTGGATTGTAATTAAATATTTGACACAGCATAGGTTTCTCACACAGAATGAAAGTGGTCTAAGAACTTAAAATTTTTTAATTTACCTATTCAAACCACATCATTATTATTTGCTTTTATATATAAATCAGAAATAACCAATTTAAAATGGAAAATTTTAAAGAAAAAAAATGAAAAAAAAATCCCCCCCAATTTTTTGAACCCCCTTATAATTCATCATCCCCAAACTCAATCCCAGCTTTCCCTTTGTGGTATGGTACCTTGCAGTACAATTTCAGAGAGATCCATACACTTGAACACAAGTTATTGTCTGGAAACATGCTTGTTTTTTGGCCCCTTTTTGGCCCGAAATTCCTAAACGTTTTGGGCAATTACCCCCAAACTCAAACCCAGCTTTCCCTTTGTGATATGGAACCTTGCAGTCAATTTCATAAAGATCCATACACTTACACACAAGTTATTGTCCTGAAACTAGAAAAATGCTTGGTTTTTTGCCCTTTTATGGCCCCTAATTTCTATAATTTTGAGGGAATTACCCCCAAAATCAATCCCAGCCTTCCCTTTGTGGTATGGTACCTTGCAGTACAATTTCAGAGAGATCCATACATTTGAACACAAGTTATTGTCTAGAAACTAGAAAAATGCTTATTTTTGGCCCCTTATTCCTAAACTTTTTGGGAAATTACCCCAAAACTCAATTCCAGCTTTCCCTTTATGATATGGAACCTTGTAGTACAATTTCATAAAGATCCATACACTTACACACAAGTTATTGTCATGAAACTATAAAAATGCATGTTTTTTGCTCCTTTTTGGCCCCTAATTCCTAAAATTTGGAGGCAATTACCCCCAAAATCAATCCCAGCATTCCCTTTGTGATATGAAACCTTTTAGTACAATGTTAGAGAGATCCATACACTTACACACAAGTTATGTCTGGAAGTTACAAAAATGCTTATTTTTGGCCCCTTTTTCCTTAACTGTGGGTACCATAACCCCCAAAATCAATCCCCACCTTCCTTCCAGTTAAAGTGACGCCACCAAAATTCAAACTTGATCTGTGTTTTGTGGTAATAAGCATTGTGTATTAGTTTCATAACATTTGGTTGAGACAAACTAAAGTTAGAGAACGAAAACGAAAAATTCAGCAATTTTTATGTTTATAAAGGGACATAACTCAAGAATGGTAAAAGTGTCGCCACCAAATTTCGTACTTAATCTGTATTATGTAGTAATAAGCATTGTGTATAAGTTTCATAACATTTGGTTGAGGCAAACTAAAGTTAGAAAACGGAAACAAAAAATTTGTACCTGAACTTAGTTTTGTGGTAATGAATATTGTGTATAGTTTCATAATGTTTGGTTTGGGCAAACTTAAGTTACAGAATGGAAACTAAAAAATTTGCAATCTTTCGATTTATAAAGGGGCATAACTCAATAATGGTTAAAGTGACACTACCTAAATTCAACTTGATCTGTGTTTTATCAGTGGAAGTCAAAATTAAACATTGCATTGTATAAAGCATTGATTGTAGTTGATTCAACTATAATCATGGACAAAGGAAGATAACTCCAATTTTAAAAATTACTTGATATTTAGAAGAAAATAAAAATTTTGCAATTTTTCCATTTTTTAAAGGGGCATAACTCTAGAACGGTTAAAGTGATGCCACCAAAATGTACACCTTACAATCATTCCATACACCAAATATAGTTGACCTATTGCTTATAGTACTTGAAAAACAGACCAAAACACATAAAAAACATTAATCAATGAACCATGAAAATGAGGTCAAGGTCAGATGAAACCTGCCAGTCTGACATGTACCCCTTACAATCATTCCATACACCACATATATAGTTGACCTACTGCTTATAGCATCCGAAAAACAGACCAAAACACAAAAACTTAACATTGATCAATGAACCATATAAATGAGGTCAAGGTCGGACGAAACCTGCCAGACTGACATTCAAGTTTTCAATAAGATATATTTGCTTTATCATGGTCACCTATATAATGACTGTCATTATGTCTATTACAATAAAGTAGTGGAGAAAGTATTTTCTTTAAAAAAAGTTATTAACTACGGATGTAAGTTATACCAGGTTATAATATTTTGATCACTTTATTAAAATTTTCAATATATCTTAGCAAGTTTATGATTATATGAACAATCGTTCCATACACCACATATAGTTGACCTACTGCTTATAGTATCTGAGAAATGGACCTAATCATGTAACTTTAACCATATTCACTGATCCATGAAATGAACTAAAAGTTCTTGTGAAAAAAAAAACTTAATCATTCCAACAATTTAGACAACAAGGACTAAGACACACATCTATAAATATCATGACTGCAAAAATGTGCTACATTATTAAAATACAACAAACGACGTTTCAGCAATCATCCATTAAAAATTTAATTTCAGTGATGACTTTGAAGATCAAATATTGAGTCAAGAATAGGATGGATTACATTTTGTAAATCACTTGACAAACATAACCTTGAGTCATAACACATGATGCACAAAATCTTAAGATATATATAAATGATGCACATAACCTTGAGTCATAATCATGATGCACATGACCTTGAGTTAAAACACACATGAAGCACATAGCCATGAGTCAAGAACATGAGGCACATAATCATGAGTCCAGAACATGAAGCACATAACTTTGAATCCAGAACATGAAACACATAACTTTGAGTCCAGAACATGAAACACATAACTTTGAGTCCAGAACATGAAACACATAACTTTGAATCCAGAACATGAAACACATAACTTTGAGTCCAGAACATGAAACACATAACTTTGAATCCAGAACATGAAACACATAACTTTGAGTCCAGAACACGAAACACATAACTTTGAATCCAGAACATGAAGCACATAACTTTAAGTCCAGAACAAGAAGCACATGGCTTACAATCCAGAACATGAAACACATAACTTTGAGCCCAGAACATGAAGCACATAACTTTGAGTCCAAAATATGATGTACATAGCATAGAGCCAAGAACATGATGCATATAACCTTGAGTAATAAACCTGATGCACAAAGTCTTGAGTAATAACTCATGAATGCACATAACCTTCAATCATAACACATGGTTCACATAACTTACAGTCATAAACATGATGAACATAATCTTGATCATAACACACATGGTGCACATAACCTTCAGTCATTAACATGATTCACATAACCTTGCGCCCTAACACATGATGTACATAACCTTGAGTCATTAACATTAGATAGTTTTCTAATAAATATTGATGATTTCTAAAATATCTGTAATTTTACAAATAAATAATACATGATATTCAACACCAATATGTTCTTAGCATGAATTACATAATCTTTATAATTTTTGTATATTATACATTGACCAGTTTCTATATATAGGTAATTGTAATTAACATTAGTGCAATGATGTATAGCACACAATCTCAGTACAGATTGGCACCCATGAACAAATTATCAGATACAGTGAACTCCACTTAATTCACAACCTATACATGAAGCAATTCAATTTTGACATTTGAGCTATTTCAAGTTTGACCTTTCATGTTAAATTTGAAGGACCAAAGCACTCAAATTCAGACATCTACATGTATTTCATTTAGTCTGGGACTATTATACTACATTTGTAGTTAGTATAATAGTCCCAGATTTAGTCAATAATTTTGCCATAATACGAGCAAATTCTCTGAAGTAAAAAAATAGATTTCTTAACTAAGTGTGTTTCGTGGCTTTAATTTTCAATTATTGAACCATCAGAGGTCAACTTTTATAGAATTTTCTTATAATATTGGTTATCAACGGCCATCACATTTATTTCATTTTATATTTCCTCTGTTAAATCACCAGTCTTATTGGCTTTGAACTAGCTGTCAGTAACTGCGAGTACTCTCAGATCTGTACTTAGTCAGGAACCTGATGTTCAGTGGTTGTTGTTTGTTGATGTGGTTCACAAGTGTTTCTCGTTTTTTATATAGATTAGACCGTTGGTTTTCCTGTTTGAATGGTTTTACACAAGTCATTTTTGGGGGCCCTTTATAGCTTGCTGTTCAGTGTGAGCCAAGGCTCTGTGTTGAAGGCCGTACTTTGACCTATAATGGTTTACTTTTACAAATTGTGACTTGGATGGAGAGGTGTCTCATTGGCACTCATACCACATCTTCTTATATCTATTTAGTGTCTTTTTGTTGTGGGATGTATAAGTACCAGTCCACGTCCACTCTGTGTTTTTGTTAGATGTATTTCTATTAGTTTCCATCTGATGAGTTAAGCCTTTTTCAACTGATTTTTATAGTTTGTTCTTATGTTGTACTGTAACACCACTGTCCCAGGTTAGGGGAGGGTTGAGCGCTCGCAAACATGTTTAACCGGCCACATTCTTTATGTGCCTGTCCCAAGTCAGGAGCCTGTAGTTCATGTCTGTCATATTTTTTTTTCGTAAATTGTTTTTTTATAAATTAGGCCGTTAGTTTTATCAATTGAATTGTTTCATATTTTTCATGTCTGGGCCTTTTATAGCCGACCATACGGTATGGGTTTTTCTCACTGTTGAAGGCCATACGGTTGCCTATAATTGCTTACATCCACTTCATTTTAAACTTTGGTGGGTAGCTGTCTCATTGGCAATCATACCACATCTCCTTACTTTTGCATTATTAAATATGTATATTGCTTCTAAAAAATTTCTACATATCAACAAGTTCTTTCCCAAAAGTTTAAATGAAAGGAAATATGAAATTGGGAATAACAATGAATACAATGAATTAAAGACATAAATTTGACAACCCAGATGTCTTGGTTTTTGTGTTGGATGGTTGCTGTCTCATTGGCATATAACCAACATCTCCTTTCATTCATAAAAATACTAGTCTTGTACCATCTATAATTAAAAAAATAGCAAAACATTTACAAAGCTGTTAAAAAAAAAATCTTGTTGTGAGCACTGAGAGGTAAAAATTGCTTACCTTTTGAATTGTGAAATTCAAATTAAACAGTTTGTAATTCTGACTTCTAAGTACATCAAAATTATTTATCTATAAAAAAAATTTAAAAAAGGCAAGCCTATATATATTAATTTTGATTCTTCTTACAATTTTATTGATCTTTTGAATTTTCATAATTTGCCTTTGTTTGAAATTCTATTCCATCAGAAGGCAAAGGGGAGTTAATCCATGGGCATATCCATGTTAAATACCATTTTGTTCCAAACGATTGAACGATATTTTCTTTCCACCCAAGATCATAGTCATAGATACGATGTGAACTTTCAAAAGTTGTTTGTCCTTTATAAATGTGGCTGCAATGCCAGAATAACAAAGCTAATAATGCACATGAGAAAACAACAGACAGTAATGTAATAAATGATGAGATAGCTGTAAAGAATGGTATATATTGTAGCACAAAACAAAACAATGGTAAAATAAAATATGGTAGTTTCCATATTGAAAATCCATCAAGCAAATTCAAAACATAAGGGACGGTATTTATGGCACAGAACATTGTTCCACACCATCCATAAAAAACCAGCCAGAAATAAAAGCGGTAGTTAGAGTGGCCAATACACTGACTTGTAAACATACAATGATGATCTCGCTTCAGAATACATTTATTACAGGTCATACAGTGGAAAGATCTTGGTGGTGAATTAGCTTCACAGGCATAGCAAAATGTCCATCCTGGAAGAAAAATCAAACATTTTATACCATGCTGACAAAAAAAACATCTTATAGAAATGTCATAATAAAACAACTTTCCCATGTTTCCTGTAAACAGAAAAGGTTCAAAGCATATTGCATTCTCTTAATAATATTGTAACATAAAAAAGATAATGTTTTGAAACTAGAGGCTCTCAAGAGCCTGAGTCACTCACCTGTATCTACTGTGGTTTTGGAAATCAAGTTTAATAAGGTTAAAATCATAATAAATAGTATTAAATACCCTAATGATGATTGATGCCAAGTTTGGTTTAATTTGGCCCAGTTGTCAAATTAAAAGCAGAAGATTTTTGAAAAAGTTTACAAAAATTACCAAAAAATTGCAGAAAATGACTATAACTCCAATAACTTGTCAATTGACGATTTTGGTCATGTTGACTTATTTGTAGATTTTACTTTGCTGAACATTATTGCTGTTTAAAATTTATTTTATCTAAAATAATATTCAAAACAACCAAAACTGCAAAATTTCCTTAAAATAACCAATTCAGGGCAGCAATCCAACAAGGGGTTGTCTGATTTGTCTGAAAATTTAATGGGAAGATAGATCTAAACCTGATGAACATTTTTACCAAGTCAGATTTGCTCTTAAGTTTCCGAGATATAAGCCAAAAACTGTATTTTACCCCTATGTTCTATTTTTTTGCCATATCGTCCATGTTGGTTGGAATGCGGGGTCATCAGACAAATTGTTTAAACTAAATACCCTAATGATGATTGTGGCCAAGTTTGGTAAAATTTGTCTCAGTAGTTTCAGAGGAGAAGATTTTTGTAAAAGATTACAAAAATTTACGAAAAATTGTTAAAAATTGACTTTAAAGGACAATAACTCCTTAAAGGATAAATTGACAATTTTGGTCATGTTGATTTATTTGTAGATCTAACTTTGCTGAACATAATTGCTGTTCACAGTTTATCTCTATCTATAATAATATTTAAGATAATAACCAACAAGAGGCTGTCAGAGAGACAGCAAACCAGATTTCCCTGTAGAGGTCGAACCCTGAACAGTTGAGCAAGTATGGACATAACATTTAAACTTAAAACAGCTCTGAATTTGGATTGTGATTGAATATTTGATACAGCATAGGTTTGTAAAATAAATGTGGTCAAAGAACTGGAAAATTTGAAATTGGACATTTACCTATTATGGTCCAATATCCAAAGTCTATGTACATTGCTAGAATCAGCATATCAAGGAACTCCAAGAATTCAATTGTTGATGAAATACTTCTTAGTTAAACCATTTCTGTTCAAAGGGAAATAACTTTATTTTCATGAACCAATAATGTAAATCTAAAATTAGATATGATTTAACTATAGTTCTCTAAAATTAGATATGATGTTATATTTATTTTCAAATTATAATCTAATATAATTAATAGTTTTTCAAATAAATCTGTCAATACAATTATAATTGGGTGATTGACAATTACCAGATGGTGTGTTATCTTGATAAAAGGTGAAAATCATTTAAAAACACTTAGTGTAATCAAACTATATATATATAGTTAATAGTTCCCAATATTTTGTCTTTCATTTGTAACAAACTAATAAAGATCTGCAACGTATCTATGAAATTCTACAACTTTATCTACACAATGTAATGTAATGAAATATATCCTTTAATACAAATAGATTATTAACTAATGATTTTGCAAATCTGGAACAGGATCAAGTAAAAATTAAAATTAGCACACACTCAGACAATTAGTTTATACAGAATAACAAACAAACCTACCACAAAATTGTTCAAACAATTTACCGAAGAAAAGAAAAAAAACCCAAAATGTCATTTATCATTAATACAATGTCTTTTAAAAATCTATTTAAAAATGAGTTATTTCCCTTCGTACAGGCATGGAAATATACTTTTGTTGTGAAGAATATTATTTATACTGAAGATATGCATCTACCCGGTAAGTGTTTTAAGAGAATCTGTTTTAAGAATATATTTTGTGTTCTCTTGGTAAGGCTGCTATGTTTAAGGAGCCTGTGAATTGCAATATCTGTCAAAATGGGTAGATATGTGAATCTGTTACTGGATTATCAAGCAATTAAATACACAAAGAAACTGATTCTATAGGACCCTATTTCCTGCTCTCACTATACTTCTATGTTTAGTAAACCATAAAATCAGGATAAAAACTTTAATTTGTCATATAATTAAGAGAGCTCACATCAATTATTCATAATCATGATAATCATTAATGAACATGTGTACCAAGCTTCAAGATGATGTGTTCCAAACTTAATTGTAAACTACAATGCACCTTGACCAAAAGCCTTAATCCTGCATTTGCACAGAAACCCTTTTTGGTATTATTTCTCTCAGGACTTTGCATAAAATATAAGGAAGGATCATCATATGAGGGTCTGGAAGGGGTTTACAGAATAGAGAATGATGGGCAAAATATGCAGATTAAAAGGCCAAAATATAAGGAACAGAGAATAATGGGATGCTAAAATATAAGGAACAGAGAATAATGGGGTGCTAAAATATAAAGAACAGAGAAAAATGGGGTGCTAAAATATAAGGAACAGAGAATAATGGGGTGCTAAAATATAAAGAACAGAGAATAATGGGGTGCTAAAATATAAGGACATGAAGGAACAGAGAATAATGGGGTGCTAAAATATAAAGAACAGAGAATAATGGGGTGCTAAAATATAAGGACATGAAGGAACAGAGAATAATGGGGTGCTAAAATATAAAGAACAGAGAATAATGGGGTGCTAAAATATAAGGACATGAAGGAACAGAGAATAATGGGGTGCTAAAATATAAAGAACAGAGAATAATGGGGTGCTAAAATATAAGGAACAGAGAATATTGGGTGCTAAAATATAAGGAACAGAGAATAATGGGGTGCTAAAATATAAGGAACAGAGAATAATGAGGTGCTAAAATATAAGGAACAGAGAATAATGGGGTGCTAAAATATAAAGAACAGAGAAAAATGGGGTGCTAAAATATAAGGAACAGAGAATAATGGGGTGCTAAAATATAAAGAACAGAGAATAATGGGGTGCTAAAATATAAAGAACAGAGAATAATGGGCCAAAAATATAAAGGATAGAGAAAAATGGGGTGCTAAAATATAAGGAACAGAGAATAATGGGGTGCTAAAATATAAGGAACAGAGAATAATGGGGTGCTAAAATATAAGGAACAGAGAATAATGGGGTGCTAAAATATAAAGAACAGAGAATAATGGGGTGCTAAAATATAAAGAACAGAGAATATTGGGTGCTAAAATATAAGGAACAGAGAATAATGGGGTGCTAAAATATAAGGAACAGAGAATAATGAGGTGCTAAAATATAAGGAACAGAGAATAATGGGGTGCTAAAATATAAAGAACAGAGAAAAATGGGGTGCTAAAATATAAGGAACAGAGAATAATGGGGTGCTAAAATATAAGGAACAGAGAATAATGGGGTGCTAAAATATAAAGAACAGAGAATAATGGGGTGCTAAAATATAAAGAACAGAGAATAATGGGCCAAAAATATAAAGGATAGAGAAAAATTGCCTAAAAAATTAAAGAACACAGAAACGAAGAACCTCCCCCCCCCCCCCCCCCCTCATCCAGACCCTCATCATATGATTTCCCTCAAATTTGTTTGCATCTGATAACTAAAATAATATTGGCAGTTAAACAATGACAAATAAATTTCTTATCATTTTAAAATGAGTTCAGTGCTTATTGAACGTAAGATTTTATAGCAAACTAAATGAGTTCTCTAGGTAAGCCCAGAAAACCTGATTAATTAGGCAGATTTTTGTTTATCCCATATCTGATAGGGAATTGGATAGATCTACAATGTACATGATGATAAATAATAAGCTGACTTTGTATCTTGATAGTTTTAAGGTATAAATTATCATATTTTTAATAAAATAATTCTTTATTATGAAAGAAAACCTTACCTGAAGATAGCATTTCTTTGTTAACATGGAAATAATGTCATAAATAAAATTCCTAACAACAGTGAACAGGGCCAACAACATTTCCGTATTTCAGTTACTTTTTCAACAGAAATTATGCTGGGGATTAATTTTTTCAGGTGCGATTTGGTGAAGCTATTTTTTGTTTAGCCCTCAGTCATGAAGCCAAGGATGTAGGGTATCTCAATATTACGGATAGGTTTTGAATGATAATGATTTTTCTGTATCTTTAATGTCATAATTTGTAAAATGTACAAATAGTTAATGGCCTTGTACATTTTACTGTCCTGGAGCACTGCATTGTCAAAATAAGAGACCAGTTCACTGAGGTGAAAATACATTCAGATAGCCAGACAGCTGTTGGCATCCTGACTCTTAATTGGAAATCTACTAGCTACATGAACATTGACACCATTACAAACATTAAAGTAAGCATTTGACATTGGGACACTCCTGCAACACGGCATATCCACAACCCTATCTTGGATCCCAGGTCATGCTATATAGCCTGGAGCGAGATAGCAGACCAGTTGGTGAAAGAGGCAGCAAAGGAGGCCTCAGAACTCTAAATGACCAATACAATGTTATAACTATGTCAGATGTTAGAAGCACAGACTCCAGTCATGATGTCAATAAAAATTAAATGGGAGTAGATGAACCTTAAGTGAAACTGGTAGACAATTGCTTGAGCTGTTACCTATTGTTGGTAAGGAAGTCCAACTTGATTACCCAAAACCTGAAACAGAAAAAATTCTGTCAGAATTAATAACGGGGTATGACAGTCTAAACAAGAAATGATTGTAACAGGATGCTGTTACGAAGTCTCCCAAACTAAGCTCCCATAATTCGTAATTCCCAGGGTCGCCTGACATTGGGCAAAGTCCAGTGAAAATTGGTTTGGTCCAGTAAAGTTATATACATTAGTGACCCCTGGGGACTAACCCTGTATTTCATTTGATTTGCTTTATCATGACAAACCAGAATATATATGGTTTAGGGGGTGGGGATC